TGCTTGTGTTGGTGTCCTCCTTATCGTGGTCATCGTCGTCTATACGTTTTCTCCGGTCCCTCTTCCTTGTTCGGTGCTTCTTCGATTTTGTTCTTCCTCTCTCTGCAGTTTTTGTCATTGGAGGAGTCTACGTTCCAGCGGTTGCGCAAGTTCGCTCCTCGGTTGCACAAAAGGCCACGGCCGCGGCTTAACTGCCTGTTCGCCTCACAAGCACCACCCCCATCGACACCACCACGCCCACGACGTCCACGTCACAAGCCAGGACCTCTTTGCCCTTCGACGGGAGGCCTTTTCGTCGCAGGATCCCACAGCTCTCGAGATCTTGCCAGAGACGTGTGCAGGTGCTACAGCGCTTCACCATCCGCTCAGCGGAGTCTGATCTGCGCAAGGGCGGGCATGCCTATGCTGTCTCCTTCACTGCGCAGAGCTCAGCTGCTAGACCCCACTTGCTGATGCTGAAGGGCTCATCGTATAAGCACAGCTACATTTGAGGCGGCCGTGCCGCCCATCCAAGCTTTTCGGTTGCTACAGTGCAACATGGCGGCCGGATCGATAGATCCTGCCTGCAAGGTGCCGCGGCATGCAGACATTCCAGCGGCATCCAGCGAGTGAAGACTGTCAGAAGTTGTGTGCATGCATGCAAGAGCTTCAAAACCAACGAGCTGTCCGCTATCCTCCCTGACAAAATCCTAAACTTCACGACGCCTAGCAGGTCATGTGGTCGAGGCCCCTGCAGGCCGAAGATGGATCGGTGCACTCCATCCGTCCTTCGGCTGCAGTGGGCTCGAGGCATGTTTGCGTGACGTGGAGCTCGGAACAGTTTGGTGTCTTCACCAGTCTTGGAAGGATCTGAAGAGGATATGCAGGACGCAGGAACAGGGACGAAAACTGTTAATCAGCCAAATACGTCTTCAGCCACGCACGCTGAAGTGCAAGCCGCATGAAAACGGATGCACAGCCGTGCAACTAAAAGGTGCTGTTTTCATTGTCGGGAATGCAGCACAAGACTTTCCCACAGCGGCGTAACTGAAGAACAAATTTTGAGGCATGCATTTTTTGCCTTTCTTCATATGCATAGGATTGCATAAGCAAATAAGAAATCGAACAAATACACAAAAGGTATGATTCCCAAGTGCGGCAATCCGGAAAAATGCGCAATTTCAGGGCAGCAACCGTCCCTCGCACTGGATCTTAACTTTAGCCGCTCCCGGATGCTTCCGGTCAACTGCTGGTTAGCTGTAAATGGCTGCTTGTATCGTTTTGGGGAGCCCCCATTTCGGGCAAGAGACAAGCTGGACAGATTGAACAGAAGCCTCAAACTGGTGGAGAAACAAGCACGGTTGGGAGAAGGTGTCGGGAAGTGGTAGTTAAGTTTTCAGCATATCCTGTTTTAAGAATTGAGCTCTCCTTTCATTTCTGTCTGTCTAGGATACTTGGCCTTCACCGAGTGGTTCGTGGGCCGTGCCTTGGCCAAGCAGCTGGTGGCATGAACTCTTCAAGCTGTGCCCTACAGTGCCCTCCCCCCCGCCCCGAGGTGACTTCTTTTGCACGTGCTTCTGTGGCAAAGTTCAGAGGGACGACAACAAAGAATGTTCCTTGATCGGCACCATGCTGCACCTCCGCAGCAAGCTGCGTCGCATGTGGGGCGGCAGTCGCACAGCCAAGGCTATGTTATGGCGATGACGTCCCTGAGCCACTGGGACTGGGACAATCTTCAAAAGCTTGCCATCAGAGGCCGCCTTGCCTGGCTCCCTATCAGGCGAAGACCTTCTGAAGGCCGAGGGGCTCCCGAAGCCAATCGCAGGCCCAGCAGCGCCCGTCAATGACACATGCAATTGCATGCTGCCGTGGCCTGCCGCCCCCTGCGCAGGCCATGGCCACGGACGAATCTACGTGTCTCGGCCAGTGTTGGCAACAGATTCATCTCGAAGTGCCTGTCAACGCTGGCCTTATCCTTCAGAAGCTTCCCTGCAGGTGAGCGGCGTTCGCTTCACTGCCGTACCAGACGGCTCGAAGGTTGAGGTGATGGTCGTGTCTCGTCGAAGGTTCGCCTCAGATTTGCCGGACTTTTCGAGTCCCCTTTCATGGCCGGCAACATTGCCGAGCTCCGCTCCACCCTTCACACCCTAAGGACACTGATCCTGATGCACCGCTTGGGTACATCTCTGATGTGGTCGACAAACGGATCAGGATGCATGGCTGTTTTGTACGTGTGTTCGAGGTATTCCAAGGCCCGAAGGACCTGGCAGATCCTGCCAGCTTGCCAGTTCGGGGTTGGGCTCCAAGCAGATGAAATCCAAGGAGCCACGCTTGCGATGTCGCTTGGGTGCTGCAGCGTCAGCTTCACACTGCAGGTGCTTGTCTGCAACATTTCAGTGAAGGAATATTTATTATACATTTTCTGCATTCGTCTAATGGTCTCCTGGGCAACTGCACGCCTCCGACATGCCATCGCAAAAAAAGACGTGCTCAGCAGGTGGACAGATGGCCTAAGGTGACAGCCACGGCCTTGAATCAGCCGTGTAGGGTGCCTAAAGCTGGCATCGTAGCTTTGTGCAGTGAAGTGCGAAGCACGGACCTGCGTTTTATCCTCTGATTAGGCCAGCCCAAGCTCAGTTCAGAGCTTGCGAGAGCGGTGGGTGCAGTTCCTCTTGACCTCTACCATTGTACAGATGAGGATGCCATGAAGCAGGCTTTGCGCCTGTGTAGCATGAGCTGTTTGCAAAGCAACATGCCCTTGTCCAGATTCATGCGAAGCGGCCTTTGCTGATCATACCTCTCTTTACCTCTGTCTGGCCCTCCGCAGCCTTCAGGTGGCGGAGCTAGGCAGAACCGTGCGGAGCCTAGAACAAAAAAGGGTTTTTGAGAGTAAGAGTGGCTCTTGGGACTTGTAAAAGGGCCTGTTGCTGCGTTCAAAGCTGCTCGCATCGCTCCCCAACGCGCCCGACGGTTCGCAGTTTGCTCTGTTTAGACTTGGCTGTTTAGCTTGGCAGGTCCTAGAAGGGGCCGGACTGGCAAAGGCGGTTTTGGGAGAGGAGCGTCGGGGGGCTTTGCCTCGGCCACAGCATCTGTGGCTGTGCCGAGAGCGCCAGGATCGGAGCGGGCCCAGCTTGTGAAGAACACGGGTGAGCACGACAAGCGTCTACATCAGCCAGGCGCCGAGGTTTGCAGAAAACGCTGGGTGATGCGGACCCGGCACGTTGCATGAGGGCCCACTTTCTGAGGTTCATTCAGGTCAACAAGCTGGACGACGACTGCGCGAAGGCTGCGGCCTGCAAATCAACATTCACGGGGCTTCGTGCTGACACGATGACGGGTGGGCCAATGTTCTCGCCATGCAGATTCTACAACGGCACTCCAAGGAGGTGCAGGCAAGACCAAGAAAGCAGCATCCAGCCTTTTTCCGGTTGCAGTGCAGGTAGACGTTTCACCGTTGACCTCGGAACTCCAGCTATTGGGATATCCGTATGGCTGGGCGTTTTCACTTGCCCATGCAGGCGGCGGTCATTGATGCTTACGTCCCCGACCTTACCATAAGGGCCAATCGAGATGACGGCAGGAGCACGATTTTCTAGTGGCTCACCAAGTTAGCAGATGCTTTGCAGAGCTGTTTCAAAGTCAGTAAAGACGCGGCTGAAGGACCTTGAACACAAGTGCGGCATCGGCCTCAAGCGCTCGGGCAATTGCAGATCAACTCTCCATAACAGCTCGTGCCAGATCGTGACCTCGAGAGTGCGGAAAGAGCGAGAGAAGATTTTGGAACAGTTAAATCACGCCAGGGCCTCACATCGTTGCAATGCTCTGGGACATGTTTCCTTGCCGCAGAAGATGCAATCTGAGGGCATACGCCTCAAGGAGTCCATGCAGGCTGCCGGGGTGCTCGTCACAGCCGTGCCGATCATGTGTTGACCCCACTTGCGGAACATCCGAGAGGTGAACAGCTGCCTTCAGGAGAGTAGCTAGGGAATTGAAGGCAAAAATCAAAGTTGTAGACCGTGGCAAGTAGTAGCTCTTTGAAGGAACTTGCGACAAAGCACGAATGCACTCGAGAGCCTAAACACAGACCCCTGGGCGAGGCAGGCTCACGCAGCCCCGGGGCATCACCGAGGCGGCGAAGGTCCCAGCACCACGAGCTCGTTTCCTTTCCCTTTTCGCCCCTTGTGCACTGCAAACCTTCAAGGGAAGACGTGCGATGTTCAATCCGGGCAGGAGCTCTTCCGAAGACGACCGCTCCAGAAGCAGGCCTCGCCAACGTTGACGTTGAGCCTCCGTATGAAACCTATCTACCTGCCAGACAGCAAGACAAGTCAGACATAGCAATATGCTGCACACATCCGTGTATGGCCAAAGAACAAACGGTTTCTCAAGCCTTTAATAAGGAAAGAGGTATGAACATGAAGTCATATGAGTTTCCAGGCCCACGCTGTATGTCCGGACTCCCGTGGAGTAGTCATGCCTCCGATGCGGTGCAGCCGGTCGGATTCCCAAAGCCGACCAGGATTAGGGTGTAGTGCACCAGCAGAATGCGGGCGAGTGAAATGGTAAAGAACGAGCCTTGTCAGTGGCAATGTGAAGAAATGAGTAATGTGAGCACTGCAGAGATTCGGAAACGAACAATCCAGCAGACCTGCGTGCTCAACACGTCCAACTGCTTTGGTGTCGTGGGAAGCCCAAGCACCGGATCTCTCACGCCTTTCAGAAGCAATGCTTGGGTCTCCGAGGAGCGCGGGCCGGGAGACTGACAAATATTGCTGATCGGGACCCGTGGTTTTGGGTTTCCAACCCCGGACCTCTCATGGCTTTGGGACCGTGCGAGATTCCGCTTCCCTACGAAAGAAGAAGAGCAAGTCTGCAACTCCATGGTTGGAAACAGAGGCTCAATTTGTTGGATTTGGCAGCAACTCTGCAAGCCATGAGCGCTCCAGCATCGGACATCCTCGTGTTCGGAGACTCCTTGCACTATTGCATCTAGCAGCTGTCCACACGACAGTGCCCCTCGGAACCACAACCATTCCTTGCTTGAACTCCCTCCCCTCCCTCAACTCCCGCATTCCGTCTGGCCTCTACGGGGCCTTTAGTCACACTATTCGCATGCAGACTGCGTTCTACGTTGTAACCCGGAGTGCAGAAGAGACCTCCGACCGTGCGTTCAGCAATTGTGCTGGATTGTTGGGACAGAAGTGCGGGGCAGGTCAAGTCCGCGCCGCAGTCGGTCCGAGGATGATGATTTGAGCGGCTGTCGCCAGTGATTTTAGTAAACGAAGGGGGTGAGGATGGGCGTCGTTCGAGCATGGCAGGACAGTTCCTCGGGGAGGTCGGCGAGACAGCAGGTTGGCTACCTGCTGCCGGGCCTCGGGAGCTTTTGCCTTGACCTGGCTGCCAGGATGATAATGCAGGGGCAGCGCCGGAGGGCGTGGATATCGTAGGCACCGCGTCTGATCACCTCAGTTAAGTGGAGCGATGATCGACATTCCTGCATCAGACAGGTGCTGAAGCACAGGGAAACGACGACAGAGGCAGAAGGCAAGGCCTTCACAGCCAACATGTCTCAGTCTCACGAGCAATCCCTCAAGCGGCAGACTTGGCAGGGCGGCACCGCACCGGTCGGTGTCGCTGTCGCGTTCGCGCTCGGACTCACGATCCATGGAGTCCTGGACTCGGAGCCTGAATAAGGGGGGGGGGGCTAAGGGGCTGCCTCTTGAAGGCTCCCCCGGCCGGAGCTTCGGAGCGGCGCGCTGCCTAGGCCGAAGAACGATGCGCAGTCCCAGTCCCAGCCGCAGCGGCGCGTGGTCGTCAACCAGGCCATGCCCGAGCACCGAAGTCGCTGAAGCAGAAAGCATAAAGGGACACACACACACACACACACACACACACCTGAAAGCAGTTGACGCCAGGCCGAAGAGAACAAAGAGGACGACAGCTCGCGCGGGCCTTGCGCAGCTGGGAAAGTCTCTAAACCGCAGCCCTTGAGATCCTCCCGGCGGAGGCCGCTTTTGGAGATCTGCAACCTACCGGACCTCATCTCCCGAGGCCTCGGCCTCAGAGCGCCGGGCGGTACACGTATATGGTCTGAGGGGCTTCAGAAGCGAGACGCCTGCGTTCCCGGCTCGCGCTGGTTCGTTCCAGGTTGGGTACCAGCTCATGCGCGGTGTTTGTGCTTTTCTTGAGCTGTTTTCTGGTCCGAATTGGACGACCGGCGACTCGTGCTACAATGCCGGGCACGGCAAGTGCAAGACCTGCATCGCGAGTCTTAACGCTTGATTGAGATCTGCGCTGGGGCCCGGGGACCATTGTCGCCCGCAGTAAGGCAAGAATCCCCTTCAGTACCTGCCGGAGCTCTTCAATCCGACTCTCAAGACGCTGCCGGACCCATGCTAGCAGTCGGTGTATGGCACACCGGAAAGAGACTCCAAGCATGCTCTGGCAACCGAACGCTGTGCGTGGTTCACTGTCTCTGCAGGATTTCAATAAAGAGATGGGAGGCGAGTCAGTCCTCAAAGCTTGGAACAAGCCCGGCAAGGCTGGGCACGGGATGCTGTTGACTAGAGACCTCACTGGCAGCCTCGTGTGACACCCGGCTGTCAAAGCAAGCAGGTAGGAGCCATTCTGCTACAGTTGCAGAACAAGGCCTGATACGCTGCGAAGCATCACATGTAGCAGCAGGAGTTGCTTTCGACGGATTTGGTTCCAGTCTTCCATCCCCCGAGAGTTCGGAGAGGGAACATCTGGAGGGAAAGCCGGAGAGCTCAGCGTTGAAATTGTGCCTTTGTCGCATTTCTCCAGCGCCCGTCACTCGGAGCCGGTTTGGGTCCTTTTGTGTCGCAGGTCACAGCCGCACTCGTTACCATGTCGCCGTGCTTGCGGGGGCACGTTTTCAAGAGGCACTGGCAGCCAGCGCCTGCCGGACGCTGAACGGCTTGCAATTCCTCGGCTTCGAGCTCAAGGCCGGGGCCTTTCGCTCGGAGGCTTTGCGAGGCTTTGGCTTCGCGTTGGCCCGTTGCTCCTTACTCCTTACGAGTACCTGCGAGGTGCAAGGCATCCCGAAGCTGGAGGCAGTCCCCGTTCTGAAGTTTTGCTCGGTAGCCTGCGATTCTTGCTCGCCTGACGCTGCCTCGGAGCGCGCCACGCATTCCTAGACTGGATTGTTAAAGAAGCTGCTGCAAGAAGACGAGGTAAGCAAAATCCTCTGAAGCATTCGGGCTTCCGAGTCTCAAAAAAAATCCTTCAGGCCAAAGCATGCCAAAGCCATCTTGGCTTTCCTGCTTTACGTGCGTCGCCGCATCGCGTCCTGCGATTCCAGCAAACGCGAGCCGAACGTGCGTTGTTCAGAAACGTTATCATGCGCTGCGAGAGGGCAACGACAGAGAAGTCTCGAGAAGCGAGAGGCAATCAATCGTGCCGAACGCCCGGACGAGAAAATCTACATGTGGCTATCCGGAGAAAGAATGTGTGTATGCTCTTCGGGGGCAGAATTTGCATCCTCTTTCCTAACTCTGGGCCTGCCAACAATGCCACCGACTAAATTTGCACAGATCGTACACTGTTTGCCTACTTGCTGCAAGGCGGATGGTCTTCTGCAGAGCGCTCCCTGAGAAAATTATTTTAATTATGGCAGAGCTTCCGCAGAAGAGACCATGCTTTACAGCTTTCGTGCCACGACAAGCCAGAGTGTAGAGGCGCGAGGGCCTGGCAAGTGTGGCCTTCAGAGGGCGCTTCTGGAAGTGCGAAGGATCCGATTATGCCCGTCTAATGTGTGGGATCTCTCAGCCCAAACTCCCCATCAACTCCCGAGTCCGCACACACGATAGTTTTCGTGACATGGCTGAGCCATGCCTAGAGGTCGCTCGCTGCCTTTGATGTGGAAAACATACGAGGGGCTGCCTCCTCCTGGACTTGTGGCTACGTGCCATGACGAGACCTTCGTCCAAGTTGAAGCTGCGGTCCGGTGTTGCTGCAGCACTGGTGACCCAAGCCTTTCAAATCTTTGACATGACCTTCTTTATGTTCGTGTAGCTTCTGTGGCTCGAAACTGGGGCCGAAGCTGCGTTGCGTTGAAGGCCTGGCATTGTCCTGAGCCGTCGGGCGACGCACGAAGCAAGTTACGTGCTGGCTGCAGACGATAAAGCTGCATTTTTCCTGCTTCTAGAGGCAAAGCCTTTGCTCCCTCGATCAGGGGCTCTGCTTTTCCTTGCCAGGGGCCGAGGGCCGTTTCCTCCTGACCGACGATGGCTGATGTCGGCGGGGAGGATGCCGTGCCTGCACCCGCACCTGCCGCCTGGGCCCTCAGAACCAAAGAGTCCGAATGTGGAGCCACTCCTTGACCGTCCTGAGGAACCTGGAGAGGGAGTGCCGGAGAGAACACCAAGCTTGCGTGGGTGGCCACGGCATGTGAGAGAGGCTTTCTCGGAATTCGTGCCTTTGAGGCTTGTGATGAGGGAGACAGCTGGCAGAGTCCATCTTGTTCCTTGCCAGTTGTGCTTGAGAGCAGCTGTGCATCATACAAACGGCAGGGCTGCCGCCGGGGGCTTCGGAAAGCTGGTGCGCCCACCCTACTCCCGTATCGCATGGAAGTGGTTTGCCGCAAGCTGAATGGCATTGAATTAGGCGCCGGTAGCATCTAGGAATGCTCTAGGGACAGGAAGAAACGAGCCCTCTGAAACCGGTGTTGATGCCTGCAGAGCAAGCTCTACAACAAAGAGAAGCTGATGAAGCTCCGCAGCTACTCGTGGTGCCTGCCTTGAGTCTTGTTGTTTGAGAGATCTTATCAGCCATGCGTGAGTCTACAGCGAGTACTTGGTGAAGTTGCTGACTGCACGGCGCTTTTGCTTCTGAAGCTTCCCAGGAACATCTTTCGCTACATCGGCGACTACATGCACCTCTTTGGTGCTTCCTCCCTAGTGCTCATTTAGCAGATACACTTCGGCTGGACTCCCGGGAATCGCTTTGGAAGGGTGCAGTGCGCGGTGCGATGCCTTTTGATTTTGCAGGCTCCCTGGCTCGGGATAGGATCTTGATGTTGGTCCAGAGCGGCCGGAACTCATTGCTGCAAACTTCATGTCACATGTCTGCAAGATCAGATCTTTCGGGAATTGGAAAGTGAGTGAATCTGGCCCACGAGTTGTCCAAATTCAACCACCCTGAGTTGCGTATCAGTCCCTCGGAAATTGGCTCGGGAGCCATGAGCGAAGCCTTCAAGCTCGAGATGCAGGAAGTGTTGGGCCCCAAGCAATGTGCTTTGTAGTCTTTTTTTAAATATCCAGAGCCGTCCCAGAGCTCTTCTCCCAAGGCAGCGGCTGCTGCAGATCGAGTTTTCGCAGATCTCAGAGCGCATCTCACAGGTTTCGGGGGACGGGGCACTGAGGTTTGGAGCCGTGATTCGTGCTAGCCAGCTAGGCAGCTGATTGCCGCTGGCAGTTGAGAGACCTGAGCGCAGCCAGAGCACCCCGCTTGAGAAATCTCATGGTTTGCGCATGCACTAAGTCTTTGTCCTGCTAGGACTTGCGAGAGGCGGGGGCCCTGGTACATCCATTGCTCAGCATGCAGGCCCTGCACACCGCAGGCGGATGGCAGCGAACATGGCAGCGCTGGCTCGAGACCGATCGGCCCGAACATAACAAGGTAAATGAAGTCGTCAGCTAGACTTCACCCTGAAATGCAAATCACACGGCACACCATGCTGCAGGGTCTGCCGCGTTTGAAACACTTTCCAACTTTCAGCAAGCCGACAGCCGACAGCAGTGTTTAGACTTCCACATCTGACACCTCGGCTTCCGCTTCGCCGCTGCACATTTTCCTAAAGGCATCTGAGCCTGACGTGGGTTCCAAAGGAACGTCGGGTTCAGCCGGTGCCATGCGATGCGCTTTTATGTGAGCGGGAAGTGGGGCTTTTCATTGCTATGGGGCGCCTTGGCTGCATCAATAGTGAGAGAGGCTGCGACAAATGAATCGCCAAGTAAAATGCAACCTGCCAACTGTCTGATCATGTTGCGGCGATTCACGGCGTGCAAAGGCTACTATGGCTCGGTGCTTCCCCTCGCAGTCGTGATGGCTCTGCCAAACGCGGCACAAAGCTCAAAATGGAAATCAGGGCGAGCAGCGCGCACGAAAGCCATCCAACGCCTTTGTGAGCTGTGAGGCAATCGCTTTCACCTTGGCTACCCTGCACGAGTTGGACGTCTATGAGCAGGACATGTGCAACTGTCGGCAATCCCCGCATCACAGCGTACTCGGCCACGTTGGTGAGTTCTTTTCAAAGTCTGAGGCCATAGGTAGTGTCAGTGTATGGCACTGGCAACTGCGTAGTAGTTGTAGTATGCTGTAGTACTAGACTGGCAGCAGGAGCTTCAGTTCAGCGGCAGCAACAACAGGAGCAGCGGTACCAGAAGTAGTCGTCGTCGTAGTTGACGTAGCAGCACCAGCCGCAGCAGCAGCAATAGTGGCATAACGATAGCAGTGGTAGTGGCAGTGGCAGAGTATGATGTTGTTGAGGATGAAGAAGAAGATGATAATGAGGACGACTGTGACGATCATGACGACGACGACGACACAGGTCATGTGACCTTGACGAACATGGTGACGACATAGCAAGATGCGTATCAAAAATCACGTAGTTCAGCACAGCGGTTTGTTGCATCTCATCTGAGACCACGACAACACCGACAGGAGCGGCAAGCTTGCACATGCAAGGGTCTATAAAACTACTCCATGATGCAGCCGTGAGACCATTGTACATTTTAACAGCGTCCAGAGCTAGTGCAAATGTGTCCAGTGACATCGGTCGTGCTCGGTTCGTGGCACGGATAGCTCCAGTTTGGCAAGAGGCGTTGATGTTTTGCAGGACCAGGACACTATCAACACCGCCTGGGGCATCCTCAGCATCTTCAGTAGCTCGTCCCAGATGTCGGCCTTATGCAGCAACAGCCTGGGTGCAACTCCCTCCGAGGTACCTGCATGTTCTTCGTGTTGCCTCTTGGCTTAACGTACGCTCCATTTCTGTGCTTCGCGCCTCGCAACCTGCTTTTCCCAGGAACTTCAGAAGTCAGATTGCCTACAACAGGCCTGCCAGCATGTGCAACAGTGTAGCCTCGGTAATGAAACGCCGGATGCAGATGCAAATGCAATAAATGCAGGTGGTGGGAAGGCGGCACTCTGCTACAGCAGACCCGCGGAGAGTGGTTCAATTGCTTCAGCAGCCTCGTTGCCCCGCGCCTGTTTTTGTGGCTGTGAGTGGATCCCTGCAGCCGTTGCATTGCTCCTGTGATCTCTTGCAGTGTCTGCGTCGTGTTGCATCGTTCTGTTGTTGTTGGCTCTTGGTTGACCAGAACGAGTGTAGAGAAGCGAAGGCATTCACCAATCCAGCTCCAGAGCTGGCATGCAAAGTGGAGGAATTCCAACACCTTCTCGCGACTTTTCTGCAACCATCTCTTCTTGCAGCAAGCCGCACTCTTCCTCAGATCCTGATTCTGACCGAGCGCCCTATTTCGTTCTGAACCCCTTTTGGCCGAGGTCCGTCTCATGAGTTTGCTCTTTTGCTGCGCGCTGCAGCAAGTCTCGCCAGACAGGGATAGGCAGCATGGCATGCTGCCCTGGACCCTTACTAGCCCAGACCCTAAAAACTCAAACTCCCTAAACCCTATATTTTCTGTGTCCTGCGCCAGTTTTTTGGGTCTCCTTGCTTGAGCTAAAACCCACACCTAAAACCCATAGATGCTCGCCTCATTGTATTTGTTTGAGCCACATACCGGGTCTTTTTGCCTCTATTTTTGAGCCAGATGATGATCCCAAGCACTTTCTCTTGAGCCAAATAGGAAGAGTATGACCACCAGTGATGATCCCAAGCACTTTTTCTTGAGCCAAATAGGAAGAACCTAAAGCCCAGGTTCCCAAAGACCAAAGCCCAGGTTCCAAGGAACAAGGGTTATGCACAGTTTCGAAACATGTGCTGACTTGGAGCATTCGTTTGAGTTGGGGACTGCCTGTCATGAGGCAACTCAGCGATGTTAGAGCAGCCGATCTCAATCTGATTTTGCATGCGACATGTGCCAGAATGCACGGGGTTAGTGGAAGCCTGTGTGTGCGATGGGCAGGCCCTTTGAAGTGTTGTCGCCTGCTGGCATCGATCCCGCCAGCCTGTCAATGCTTTCGAAGAGCAAGGACAAGGCGACGACATGATGTGAAATCTTAGCGGCCTTCCTGTACGCTATTCGAGTTGACTATGATAAGGCTGCAGTGATCTCAAATGATTCGGAAGTCCACAGCATAGCAGGTGGAAGTAATTTTGCAGTGGCTTCAGCGACTGATCACGCACCATGGCTGCAGTTGGTCAAGGGACGATTTGGGCAAGCGTACTGTGACCAAGTCATGCGAGCACGAAATATGAAGGACAAGATGTGAGAGGCACAGGTGACGAGTTGGAGTTTCGTTAAGTCAGGGTACCAGTAGAATGATACCGTGCCGCCTCATAGACGGATGGTGAAGGGTTTTAGCCAACACTTTGAGACCTGGCCGCACTGGGCAGGTCAGGTGAGGCGTGAAAGCCAGTTGTAGCAGCATCGCGAGTCAAGAAGGTGACTCCTCGAGGATTTGAGTTGCCTGCAGATGGGTACAGCAGTTCAGGAACACTGAATCATCGAAATCGTTTCCGGTAGCATCGCAAAGCGGTCACGGATTCGACGTTCAGAATTCATGACCCCCGTATTTGCCTCGTGCAATAATGCCAGGTCGTCGAGAGGGGCGTGCTTTCCATCCTAACGACAAGGTCAACATGTGAACTGCACAACCGAATCCCTCAGCGAGAACTGCTCTGCCCGGGAGAAGTTGGTTGATGCTGGTCGTTGCCCCAGGCTGAGCATGCAGGACAGCATCATTGTGGTCGCACCGCCGGTGGTTACCCGAGCGTACCAAGAGCTGTCCCGCGGCATTGTGAATCTACAAAACGCGAGCTACTCGGCTGCCGCGGAGTGATGCATCAAAAGCATGCTGGAGCCTTCTTAGCATCTCACAGCTTTAGACTTGTGTGCATTCTTTAGCTGACCCTGCCGCATGACAACCTGTCCATGCAGCTCAGGAAAAATTGCGGAGTTCCCTTTCCCGTTCCCTCTCGCGCAAGTAAGCAGCCGTGTTGCATTCAAAGGATACATTGCGTTCGGCGTTCCTTCCATTTTACATGCCCAGCCTGCCAGTTGGTCCGGTAGTCCTATCGAGGTATGGCCATGCTCTGTCTGCACTGGGCCCTCGTTCCAGCCGCTTGTTGAAGAACTGACGTTACAGCAACGGCAACTGTCAGGCTTTGGTAGCAGGAACTGCGGATGTTGCAACATCAGAGTCCTAGTGACAAGCTTTTTGAGAGCAGTTTCCTCTTGCAGGTCCTTTGCAGCATGCTTCTCGGAAGAGTTCTTGCAGCTTGCGTCTCCTTCATTGTCATTTGCTTTCTGCACCTTGATGGCAACCTCCCATACTGCACTTTGGAAGCAAGTTGAAACTCGCAGTGGCTACCCCCAAATGAAGCTCAGGTGGGCACAGAATTTCATTGCTCTGCAGCTCGAATCCCCTTTCGGCTGCGAGCCAAATGACTTGCCCATGCATCAGATGCAAGGTGACTGGAAGCTCGGACGCTGACAGCCTGTGTCTACCGTGGTAGCTGAATTCAGTTGGGCAGTACATGTGGACCCAGCTGAGGAACACGAGTCTACGCGCTCTGTGCCCGCCTTACCTGTGTCAGAACAGGGAATCCTTCGTGATCCTTGCAGTGGTCGTGGGTCGTGCTGCGCATGCGCTGACCATGCAGACTTGCAGTTGCCGTAGCATCAGGAATTTCCCAAATCGGTTGTTCTGTCCAGCTGCTCCCGCAGGATGTTTTCTAAACATTCCCCAACCTCTGCGCC